ACCTTTTCTTCACAGCCTAGTGACAGTGTGTTTATAGTGGAGCAAGTTAAAAGATACTAGTCCACTACAATATCTTCAAGGTTTACCCAGTCTGTTTTATCTTGATCTTGTTGAGGCATATAAAGAGGAGGAATTGTGTTTCCAGGCTGGTGGGTTCCTTAAGCTTAAGATTTTATTGCTTAGTAGATTAAAAGGATTGAGGTGGGTGATAGTGGAGGAAGGTGCAATGCCTCGTCTTGAAGAGCAATATATTCCAAACCAAACCAAGTCTTGAGTCCCATCAAATGGGGTCGACTACATGAATCCTTCCTCTCCAAGTGGCCCTATCAAAGGCCATTTCGTTAGTCAAATTAAGTAGATCCATATCTCTATTTACAACGCTAAGCAACGTTAATCTAGCTTACCCTGTCCCCTAACACTTCCATTTACCGTTACAGCATCGCATCTCTTCACTACTGCCTCTGTTGGTCTCTGTTGAATATGACCAAACCACCTCAATCGATTCTCTCTGAACTTATTTTCTATTGGTGCTACTTTTATCCATTCCCGAATAAACTCATTCCTGAATAAACTCATTTCTATTTCTGTCTTATCTAGTCTTGCCACACATCCACCTTAGCATTCTCATCTCAGCCACACTTATCTTATCTATATGCTGTTTCTTGGTTGCCCAACACTCTGTTTCATACAACATCGTTGGTCTAATAACCGTTCTATAGAGCTTACCTCTAAGTCTAGTGGGTATTCGTTTATCGCACAGTACCCCAGACGCACTTCTTCATTTACACCATCCCGCCTTAATCCTATGGGCCACATCCGCATTAATCTCTCCCGTTGTTGTGATAATCGACCCTAAATAACGAAAATGTTCACTCTTAGGCAATTCTTGGTTCTTAATCTTCACTTATCCTCTTCACTTATCATCTGGGTATTTCTTGTCAACTCATCTATAACTAAAGCAAAAAGATAAGGACTTAAGGTAGATTCTTGGTGTAACCTTACAATGATAAAAAATTCATTTGTCTCCCCAGCAGGCGATCTAATAGTGGTCACCACCCCTTTATACATGTCCCTAATCACATCAATGTAACCTTTTGTCACCCTTTTCTTCGCTAACACCCACCATATTATATCTCGGGACACGCTATTATATGTTTTCTCAAGGTCCATAAACACCATATAAATTTCTCTTTTCTTTTCTCTATACTTTTCTATTACTCTCTTGAATAGATAGATCGCTTCCATTGTTGACCTGCCAGGCATAAATCCAAATTGATTCTCTGACACCTCTGTTATATCTCGCAATCGGTGTTCTATCAACCTCTCCCACACTTTCATTATATGACATATTAGCATGATTCCTCTATAGTTGTTGCAATTCTGGACATCTCCTTTATTCTTATGGATTGGCACTAAAATACTCTTCCTCCACTCATCTGACATGTTCCTAGTCAATAAAATTTTGCTAAACAACCTTACATTGCTTGACTTATTTGATATGTCTAATATAATGGTTTCCAACTTCTAAGTTGATTAGAGACTGACAAGGTGCGAATTACTGGAGAATAAGTCACATCCCTGAAGTTTGGATTGGGGACACAAAAGATGGGCATTGGAGAGGAACTAATATGTAGAGGGAGAGAGAAAAAAAGTGTTTTTACCAGGTTTGAACTCTTTATATTCCGATTCCCTGTATTCTTTTTTAATCATTTTTTTCCCAAGTAGTTAATTTGAAATCATTTTTTTTCTTCTTTTTTTTTTCTGGCAAATAATTAATCTTTTCTGCAATTGTAACTTTCCCATAACATATCTTTCAGCAAAAATGGCAAATATGTTAATCATTTACAATTATGACTCTAATGCTGTGTTTGGTTAGGGAATTTGAGGAGGGATTTGGAAAAAGAAAAGGAAAAGGAGTGTGAAACTAGGTGAAATTTAAGTATGCTTTATTCACATTTCACCTACCTTTTCCATTTCCTTTTCCAAATTCCTCAACCAAACACAGCATAAGTATTCTAATTGATAGCATGGAAAAGGAAAAGGAAAAGGAGTGTGAAACTAGGTGAAATTTAAGTATGCTTTATTCACATTTCACCTACCTTTTCCATTTCCCTTTTCAAATCCCTCTTCAAATTCCTCAACCAAACACAGCATAAGTATTCTAATTGATAGCATTTGTAAAATTGTTACTAAATTCAAACTTCTGTAGTTAAACTTATACCTATTTCTTTTCAATCTTTCAACGTGCAACTCGTTATAAGCTTCCTTCTTTTATCCCCTTACATCCCTATGACACAAAACACCACAATTAAACGCCTCTGGTCAAGTCAAACACAACAATAGGTTCATAATGAACCCCAAAACAAAATGACCTTGTATTGCAATTCTTTCAAACATGAGAATTCTTGTATCATTGCACCGAACTTGCACGTTTTTGTAGGTAAGTTGGCTCTTATACCATAAGAAACAAGCCCGCCGGGAACCTACCCAAAAAGATATGCATCCAATGCAGAGTTTTGATGTGAGACTCAGCGTATGCTAAAGTGGGTCTTGTGTATGCAAATTGACTCTCATTTTGCTGTATGTTGAAAATAAGAGTAGACATTTTTACGAGGGAGATTGTGTTATGCAACTTGCTACTCAATTCAGATTCAAAGGAACTGTTTCACACATCTATTCCTGGATAGATTTTTATTTGACTCCATATCGTTTGGACATATGAACATGTTAGACAACAACTAATGATTTGTATTTTCTGATCCTTTCCAAGGCAGGCTCCTCATAAAATCACCCAAAAAAAAGAGAGAGAAAAAAGAGAAAGAACTATAGAGAAATTGAAGACTTGCGCTATATACCATATGCCAACCAAATAACTAAGAAAATTGACAGATTCTGATTAAGTTCAATGACCAAAGCTGAATGCTTTTAGTGAAGTGTCAACAAAATTAATAAAAAGGATATGTGGATTTTTAAAGTGTTTGTTCGAAATTGTAATTTTTGTTATGGGAATTCCATCCATTAACAGGGACAGCAGGTCATGATTTGAAGAAATTGTGATGTTGGTCACTGTTTCCCAAATCACAGCAAAATCTTTACCAAAATATAACATGGGTTTTCTTTTCGCTACAAATTTACAAACAAAAATTCTAAGAGGTATTGATGCAACAACATGAATAAGAACAAGACAGCAGGAGACAGAGGAGTAACAAGACTTGTGGACTCACAGGTTGAATTTTGTTGCGCCTCTCTCTGGCTTCTGTGTGTGTTTGAGAGAGAGAGAGAGAAAGAGGAGAAAGTAGTTAAAATAACCGCGTCGTTTTCGATTTATAGTATGTTTATCCCGTTCACAGACAATTGTTTTATGTTAAGAAAATGCTAACAACAAAGCGGTTGATTTTTCAAATTTTATTTTTGATTTTTTTTAAAAAAAATATTGCAAGCTAAATAAATTTTATCCTTAAAAAAAAAATCTATAAGAAAATAATTTTTATTTTTTATTTTTCACAAAATTTGTTTTTAAATTTTTTTAAAACATATTTTAAAAACTAAACCAAGCATTACCCATTTGAGAGAAATAAATTAGATTAAACTTATTTCGAATTCATAAGGGCTCAATGGGGCTCACCATGAATCCCGTTTCAATGATTCAAATTGTTCACCTTCAGGGTAGGCCCTAAGTTATTAGGAGCCTAAGGCAAATTTTTTAAATTAGGCTCTTCATATATCATTACCACAAAAAATAAAAATAAAAATAAATTATTTGGATAAAACAAAAAAGATAAAAATTTATTTCTATTGGATTACAATTTAACAAAATTTAGATAACAAATATATATATAAAATAGTTGAACTTCAATTAATCAAATTGAATCTTTATTTTTTAGCTTACCAATGCTATAATAACTAAAATTAATTGGGGGTAAGAATGAGAATTTTCGACATAATTCAAGCAACATATAAAATTAGCAAGTTAGGGTTGACTATTTTTCAACATGAATCCAAATATGACACGACTTAATAATATGAATTATTAGTTATATATTTTAATCCTCACCTTGGGACCGGCTCTGTTCACCTTGTAGAACTCTTCGTGCGTATTATCAGTAAAAAAAATTAAATCGATCTAATAATTATATATATATATATTTTATTTTATTATGTTTATCTTAAAAAAATAGATATTGACAAAATGCATTTTTTTTTAATTGTATATTAACCTTTTTCATAGGAATCACCGTTTCCACATATCTAGGTAATTAAGCTGATGTAGTTCATCATGTTATAATTTGTTAGTATTGCCATCTTTCCTATGTGTGTGGAAGCCTCATCTACTTTATTGGGTAACCATTTATTGAATCAAATGGATCGAAAACAAGCATAATATGATCTCACTCACTGCAACCAAATGGATAAACTCATCAATGAAGCTTGCTGGAAACTAACAATGGAATTAGTTCTAGGTCTCTTTTGATATTGACTTGCCTTTGGTGTGTCTGTCAAGACTGTTAATTGTTTTGGAAGTTCCACATTTTTTGGTTTGAATTTCATCAAGTAAAAGATCCAATATTAGCATTGAAAGCATCAATAATCAATTTAGAATCTCCTTCAACTTGATTTTTTTGCCTAATAGACTAATACATTCATCAAAGTGATAGCTTTCTAAAACCTCAATTTGATAGATGCCACTTGAAATAGCAGTCCTAATAGTATTCCTGTAATGGTGTCCTGCAAATTTGGTTTATCATTTGACATTGAATTTATTAATAATCTAAATAGAATTATTTTGAAGATTTGTCTGATATAAAACAAGGTTCAGGTCTACTGCAAACATATAACCAATAATACATTATCATCACAGAATGAAAAGAGTCCTATGTTTGAGTTTGAACATTACAAATTCCCAGTTTTGAAACTCAGTTTAGTCCTTAGATCACCATTTCATCCTAATTATGCCTTCAAACACAAAGGCTACTACTGCAACAAACACTCAAAAACAGAACATGGCTGAAAATGAGGTGTTCCATCTACTAGCCAACTTTGTTGCACACTTCCTCCAACAAGAGGTGAATTTATTGAGCGGAGTTCGGGGAGAGATTGAATACATCAGAGATGACTTCGAGCGCATGTCCACTTTCCTCGGTGTTGCTGATGCTAAGGAAGAAAATGTCCAAGAACTCAAAGTTTGGGTCAAACTAGTCCGTAATGCTGCTTATGGCACTGAAGATGTTATTGACAAATTCAAGCTTCACCTTGCACATCATCATGACAATGGATTCCGTGGATTTCTTCGTAAGATTCCCCGCTTCATCAAGACTTTAAAAGCTCACCACCAAATTGCTTCTGAGGTACTAAGGATCAAGTCCAAGGCCGTCAGAGATACCAAGATAGATATGGTATACCAGAAGGCTCAAGGTCCACTATTGTTAATAATTCATGGTATGATTGTCGTGGCGATGCACTTCTACTTGAAGAAACAAAGCTGGTGGGGATCAAAAAGCCCAAAAGACGACTGATTGGGTCACCGAGGGAGGTACTAGGCTGAAAGCAGTTTCTGTGGTGGGAATGCAGGATTAGGCAAAACAACCCTGGTCAAAAAAGTCAACGATAATGAAACGGTGAAGAAACATTTTAACAGCCATGCTTGGCTCACTGTTTCCGAGTCAATCAACATTGCGGATCTCATGAAGGACATGATTCAACAACTCTTCACTGAAATCCTGCAACCAGTCCCTTCTGACGTTGAAACAATGAGCATTAACAGGTTGAAAGGAATGGTTAAAGATTTTCTGCAACAAAGGAGGTATGTGGTTGTTTTCGATGATGTTTGGAAAGTTGGTGTTTGGGATGCTGTCAAATCTGTGCTGCCTGACAACAATTGTGGCAGTTGTGTCATTCTTTTAACTTGTTTATCTGATATAGCTTCTAGTACCTATTGCAATGAAACTGATGGTAATGTCTACACCTTGATGCCCTTGTCCACAGAGGAGTCTTGGATGCTTTTTTGCAACAAGACTTTTCGAGGGAACTTATGCTCTCCACACTTGAAGGAAATTTCCCATAAATTCCTTAAAATTTTTAATGGATTGCCGCTTGCAATTGTTGTGATAAGTGGTGCTTTGGCTATAAAGGACCAGAGTAGAATAGACGAATGGGAAATGATATATCGCAACGCTGAATTAGATTTAGAGGGCAATGACAGACTAGAGAGCATGCAAAAAGCACTCTCTTAGTTACAACTATCTACCTGATTATCTGAAGACTTGTTTCTTGAACTTGAGCATTTTCCCTGAGGGTCAACAGATAATGTGCTGTAGAGTAATTAGACTTTGGATAGCAGAAGGATTTGTGAATGCTACCCGAGAGTATGACTACAGAAGAAGTTGCAAACAATCACCTCAATGAGCTATTCAATAGGAGCCCGCTTCAAGTGGCACAAAGATTTGCATACGGAAGGTCTCAAAGCTCCACATTTTTGGGTTAGAATTTCATCAAGCAAAAGATCCAATTTTAGCATTTAAAATATCAATAATCAATTTAGAATCTGTTGAAAAGTAAACTTGTGTTTTAATATTTTAGGAGTTTCCTATATTTAGTTATGCTAATTATGGAGGAATAATGGCATGCACGTAATGGTGCATAATGGTGTGTTAAGGGACATTAGTAGTATGTTAATGTGTTAGTGGTTACAAAGATTAATATAATTAGTGAGTCTTAATGAAAGTGTGTGAGTTACATGTTAGAATCTAATATATATTCATGCAATCTATGTAATGAGAGATCGGAATGAGTAGGAGAATAAGAATGAGTATGCAATGATAATAATGAGTGAAATACAAGAGTTGTATTTTTCCTTCTCCAATTCTCTTTCAAATTTGTGTGAGTGATTGTTGTGTGGCCAAGTTCATTTCTAACAGAATCTCCTCCAACATGATTTTTTTGCTTATCGAAGTGTTAGCTTTCTAAAACCTCATTTTGATAGATGCCACTTGATATCCTCAGCGGTCATGATAGTATTCATGTAATGGTGTCTTACAAACTTGGTTTCTGATTTAACGTTGAATTTATTAAAAAACCAAAATAGAATTACTTTGAAGATGTGTCTGATATAACAAAAGGTTCAGGTCTACTGAAAACACACAACCAATACATACATTCATATTAATAAACAATAAGTAACATCACATCTACAATACCAGACAACACACAGCCAATACATACATATTAATCAACAAGAAGTAAACATCATATCTCCAATACTGAAAATACACAACCACTACACATATTAATACTAGAACTAAAAAACCAGGTACCTTACAACGATTAACATAGTTATACGCCAATATCAGGAAAGTCCTTCTCTTCGGGCGCAAGGAGAACCTGTTCTGCCTGTGCATCCATTGCCTCATCCACAGTGTCTGTACTTGCTGCTGTCCTCTGTCTTTTCCGGGCTGCAATCTTTTTCTGGATCACCATCTTCCAGATAGGGCCAGTGTTAGCTGATTTGAGTCGCAGCATATCATAATCAAATTTGAAATCGTCAACAAATTTAGCTGCATCTTTCTTAATCTGATCTTGGTTAGCCAGGACAACCATGTTACGATTGTCAGTATAACAATATCTATAACACAACTCAGATAAAATGGCCACGGCCAGTATGTTGCTTTTAGATTGCAGTTTTAGGAAATAACCCGGATCTACTATCCGAGCATATCTCCAAAATCTTGATGGAATAGAGCCTTGTTTGTGGCTTGGCCTGTCAAAACTCATGCATATTCTACCTATCTCATCAATACAATCTTCAGTTTCAGGTATTCGCAACCGTGCCAAAAATGGTCCTGTTGTCATCAGAGGCAATTTATGAATCACTTCAACAAACATCCGGTATGCACTCATCCCAGTGAGCTCTAGGTGCTGTACAATCACAAACCTTAAAAGTCCCAACTTGGTTCGGTCCGAATCATATTGATATCGAGTGTCTGCATATGCAACATGATTAACCAAAGTGTTTTTAATGTCAACACACGAAGAGAGTCCATGTTTGATCACTGAAAGCTCACGAATTGAGGGTTTGAAAGACTCAACAGTGAAAGAGCTAGTTTTGTAAAAAGAGAAAAACCCCTTCGCAATACGATCCATTGATCTCATGTAGTTGTCTACAGACTTGGTTATCAATTTCATCAGATTGGCAGAGAGATAACAAGCTGCTTTTGCACCCACATTATCATCGTCGTCCTCTCGACCTTGATTTGCTTCGCGACTGGGCTGAATTCTAGGTACCTTCCTGATTGGATTGGTCGATCGGAGCTTTGATTGGGAAGAGAGTGGAATTGGGATAATGGTCAGCCATGAATGGCAAACCATCTTTAGGGTTCGGCAAATGACAAGCCATAGACACGAGTAGATAGAGGGATTCTTCAGTATACCTTCCTTGATAGATTGTTGGACTTTCTTCCAATCTTGTAGGACAAGTGTTTGATCAGTGTAGGACTTGATTCGAACATACTCTTTCTTTAGGACATCCTCCAAATCGAAGTTCTTCTCGGTGAGTTTGGAGCTTTTATCTCTACTATTGGAATTGGAATTGGAACTCAAACTCGCAGTGGACATGTTTTTTGTGAGATCAGAGTGTGTTTGTGTGGATGGGTGTTAAGTTAAGGTGGTGGTTTGGTATGGATGCATCTTTGTAGTCAGCCTTTCCTTTACGACTAAGTTTAGGTATAGAGAACACACAGAAAATTTTACATCATAACTTTTTTTTGTTTTGATTGCTTTATTATTTGGGGAAATTATACATGGTGTCAGAAAAAAATTATAAAAAAATAATAATTATTATTAATATTAATAATTAAAATCATAAATTTTTAAAATTTGGTTTGAATGGTAGTTTTCGCTTTTTATTTTTATTTTTATTATAGGAATTAAAAAAGTTTTTGTATTTGAGAAGTTGCTGTGATTCAACTTGCCAAAACAATTATGATTTTTTGGCCTTTTTAGTCCAAAAAAATGGTTTTTTGGCAAGTTGCCAAATAACCGCTATGTATTTGGATTGTTTGGTGCAATTTGATTGTTGTGGCCTCATTTATGTTAGTAATTTAAATAATTTAGCCCACAGATCTTTAGTTTAGTTTCAATTTAGTGTTTTTATTGAAATTCAATGTTTAAATTAATGGCTTTGTTACACATGCCAGTCTCCTACAGTATACACATTGAAAAATTTTATAGTTATTTGAAAAAAAATAATCAAATTAAAATTGAACTTAAAGTGTAGAATTTAAATTATTCAAATTAAAATAATAGAGATAAAAATAAAATTTTGATTAACTATAAAAATAAAAAATATATAATTTATCCAAAAACATATATAACTCGTTTAGGAATATGCTTTTTTAATAATTTTTTAGTTAAAATATGATGTAAAAAAATTAATATTTTTTCATTTTTTATAAAAAAAAATATATATATATATAAAAAGTAGAGAAAAAAATAAAATTTTTAATTTTTTAATATAAATTAGAAATTTTTTTAATAATTTTTTAATTTTTAAATAAAAAAATGAAATTGCCAAACAAGCTCTGAGTTTACTTTTTAGGCACTTGGGCTGCTAGTGTGGGCACTTCTTAATGTAAGGAGGCTGCTTTTGTTGACTGAAACCATCACCACCATTGGTCCACATGTGGGATCCACTATGCCCACTTGATTCGCCCTATTGGTTGAGAAGCCGTTACCTTAATAAGGTGAAACGGATAAGTAACTATTGGGGCACCTTTGTTTAGGTTGTAAAATGAGAACACAATATTATAAACTTAGAAAATTTATTTATTAAAAAAATTAGTAAAAAAAATTAATGAACTAATCATAATTATTTTAAGTATGACTTATATTTTACTAATTTCAAATTTACACAATATAACTTATTTTGAGATAAATTTTCGTTATTCATAACATATTTAATGGAAATAAGAGAAAAAAAATAATTAGAC